TAGTTTTCAAAAAATTAAGAAAACTAAATTTTCTTCAATTGCTAGAAACATGAAAAATGGATAGCAATCAACTTTTGATTGCAAAAATATATTAAACAATTTTTAACAAACATAAAGTGGGCTCTGATATCACTGTTGGGAATCTACTTATATATGCATAGCGGAAAATTAAAATTGTTTCGATTCCCACCGAGGATCCCTTTGTATTTAGATAGAAATCGTGATAAAGATTGTACCTTTGAAGAATTCTGCAAACCTTTTGCTTTTCTTTTCTTCTTACAACGTTGATTCGTCATCCACGGCCGTCCAATTGTCCAGCCTTCAACGGTGATCCACACAGAGAATAAGATTGCAACTACCAGGGTTTTCTCCTCTTGTGCTAGCAAGAATGATTATGAGAAAAATCCTATGAATTGAAACCCTAGCCATGTATTTATATAAACCCAAACGGGCATGGCCTGGTCCGGTCCAATATTTAATTAATCCATTTAATTAAATCCGGTCTGTGAATTAATTTTAATTAATTCGGGCCTATAAATAACAAAACCAATTAATTAATTTATCCAACGATTATTAAATCAATTAATTGACAAATTGCAATCTTCAAATTCTCTTTTGTGTGTGACCCATCAAGTTCCCAATCACGATGCCTAACGACGTGAAATATTATTTTGATCTAATCAAAATTGATAAATTAAAACACCTTTTTAATTTATCGTCAATTCACACTCACCGTCCCTAGATTGACATCTAGCAATGTGTCAGGGCAATACACGTGACGGGAAATATCATGTGGTATGACAAAACCAAATTCGTTCGTTTACCGTGAAACTATAATCCTTTCGTCAATATGATCTAATCAATTACGAGGTATGGAAGTGTGTCAATCTCAATTATTGATCATATCTTTCACTCCACTATTAAGACAATATAAGTCGAAAACTCCTTTTCGACTTATGAGTATACCTTGGCCAAGGATTTCATCATCGACTTAATTGAATGAAACGCAGATCACAATCTCCTACTAACTAAGAGTGACGAATCCTTTATTGGTCAATCACAACCTTCATACGATTCTGGACGTACCCGAACGATGTCGTATTAGCAGCCCTTTGCAGAGCAATATCCAACAACGCCAAAATATGACTATCCTCATATAAGGTACCATGACGACCTCAAGTCAAAGGATCAATATCATTATCGAACGTTAGAGATTAACCACTAACACTCAGATAGTTATACATGTGGAATCTCTCGACGGGTTTCCAATGTTTTAGTTTATAACAAAACATTCACGTTTTCATTTAAGTGTTACCACACTTTAACTTGTGAGATCAGCTACTTACTTTACAAGTAAGAAATGCCACACGTGATGGTCTATCCGTAATAACGATATTCGTATCTTGTTATTACTTACAACCACGGACGATTTAAAATTCAATCAGATGTAATTTGTATCTCACAATCGCAACTCCTTGTGATTAACAAATTACGAAAATTTGAATCTACGAACTCTATTATTTATTTAATTGTCAATTAATTAAATAATAGATCTGCCATTAAATTACATTAATTATATATCAAAAGTATTTATATCCAAAATTGATTGGATTTAGGGCATAATATTTACAATACCAACATTCTTATATAATGCTAACTGTCTATGATATTATTCTTTTATGAATTGGACATAGCCTACTCAACGAAAGATGTCAGATTCTTTCATTCTTCTTCATTTCAATTGGGGAAGGAAATCAGGAATTACAAAAACAAATGGCTTAGAAACTAAAATGGTAAATTCCTATTTGTTAATGTGTGATTATTAAGATCTAAATAAATAAGTATTTTATATATATGATTTTGAATAAGTGTTATGTGTTCACGACATGTTGGGATTCCTGTAGTATTTTGACTCGTTTGTAGTGGCAAATGATTGTTTTGGACATTGACAGTATCCACTTATGTAATTGCTCACCAGATTCACACCAAATATTTGTGTGTTTTCCATGCATCATTTTTTTCCAACGAGATTTGTTATCTGACCTGACCAATGTGGTGCGACTTGTGATCTCTATTTGGGTCTATCTGATGAACGTGGTCTTATTTGTAAGTACAATTAAAGTTGGATTGATCACAATACTAAATGAGGCTATTTTCTAGTAAAAGTAATGAAAATGACATTCTATTTGTACACTTTGTGAGTTGGCCAGACAAAATATAAAAGCGCATTAACTTCCCACATGATGTTGTCATTTATTCTCATTTTATATGGTTTGAGGTGGAATATATGAAATATTGTGATGATTCGAACTTTAAACGAGTTGATGAACTCTAAGTTCGAGCTTAATCCAAGGATTGTGGGGCCATGTTACTACTTTACTACTTTAACATGCTTCTAAAGACCTTTTAGAAGTATGAGGATGATTCATGAACATGATGTACTCTAAGTCAAAAGTGGATAGAATTGGATGAAAAATGATTATTGCATTTGTATGGGATATGGAATAATAATATTCCAATAATATTTTAAATAGTGTAAACTCGTGGATCCACTAAGAAAAGATTTACCAGGAAATCAAGTATACTACGTAAAGATGAAAATATGCTTATAGCCTACTACATAAGGATCTTTGCAATGGTAATCAAATATTGTTGATTGGATACCCAAGATTTTGGTTCAATGAGACAACTAAGTTACGAAGATTCAATGAGCACTTGGGAGTTAAATCATAAACATTCTTATGATAAGTAAAGTGCTATGTGCATAATGTTTTAGGTTAAGTTAAACTTTTAATATTTCTATAGCTTAGACAAACTAAGTGGAGTACGGCAAGTATTCCTAATGGGAGATCTCAATATAAGCGAGAAGTAGGGTCGCTTCTATGAGTATTTTCGAGGCTAAAATTTTCTGAAACATTTATGAAATTCAAGAGTTGTCCAGGGTTAAAATAAACACAATCATGAGAACCAAATGTGGTAGGAAAGATATTCTATGAGTAGTGTTGTCTTGTTTTACGACAATGGGTTGAATATTTCAAGATATCATGTTTACTAATTAGCCAAGTAAAGATGACAGTATCTCACTATGGCAAGTTTAAAACTAGAAGCTATATCTCCTGATGTAATATTTTTTCCTCCTGTACTCTCCTTACTGTCGACATAATCATTTGCTCCTTCAATTCACAATTTCGCTCAAACAACTCTAATTTCACTGCAATTGCCTAAATCACATCGCATGTGCAACTCATCACGACATCATCCATTACAAGTTGAAAGTAGAGAGCCTTAAACATTTTAGGGTTTGAATTAATGCTTTTGGTGAATGGATAGATGAATAGATTGACGGATTTTATACATTCGTCTAAATGGTTTTGTCAATTTACTTAAGCATGAAAAAGGGGATTTAAACAAGTGTCAATTTCCAAAGGCCCAACCATCTTTGCACTTAGATAGAACATGTGAAAAGAGCTATGCCTTTTAACAATTTTTAAATGTTAAAACAAATGTGAATTTAATTTACAACTACCTCACATCACATATGTCCAATTGTCTTGCTTCTAATTGAAATTCAAACGAAGAGAACAATAACTGAACTTGCACCACTAGAAGGGCGGCGCGGATGGTAAAGGGTGTGGCTAGGAGATTTAGGTTTAGTTTTCTTTTATCTTTTGCTTGAGAGAATATATGATACTTCGTGCAAAATCCTTTTACCTAGAATTCTTATTTATATGATTCCATTTATAATAGGCCTCTGAAAGTCAATTATTTAGATAAATAACGAAGCTTTTGAAATCGACAATACCAACTAAGGTTGTCAAGCCTACTTGATGAGCTTGCAAAAGAATGAATGAGACCACATGAAGGTTTGCAACCCTAACCAGAGCCCTTGCTGAAAATGCTTTTTTATATGATTCCATTTATAATAAGCCTATTCGGATTACTAAACCCTATTTCACATGAGTCCAGTACAAAATTAATCTAATTAATTAGCTTCGGTGCATTAACCATCAATCTAATAATTAGTAGCTCAAATGTAACATTTGTCTATTAATTATCCGTTCCCCCTCGATCCCTATTAGGTTCTTAAACGCTAAGATAAACATCATGAGATATTTTTCTGATATGATTAGAGTAATATAAATTAAAATCCTCTTTTAATTTATTATTATTAATCCATCTAAATTAAATAATTTGTGTTGGACTGTCCAATATTAACATTTAACAACGTTTCAAGGCAATATATGTGAGGAGATTTTATGTGGTATGAGAAAATCAGTTTTGATAAGGTACCATGAAAATATAATCATTTCATCAATGTGATCCAACTGATTGTGAGATATAGATAGACGTCAACCTTGATTTAATTAGTGTTTTATTCTTTATATCCTCATGTTGACTCATATGAGTTAGTGTTGATTCATGTGAATTACGATTGAAACTTTTTTCAACTCATAACTCCACCCCAAGGAATTCACATGTTGACGTAGGTAAACGATATGCATGTCATAGTTTTTTACTATCCAAGAGTAGTATCCTATATTAATCATTCGTCATTCTTCATATTATTCTCAACCCACTCATCTAACATTGCATTAGTGACCCTAAAAAGGTAACATCGAACACCACCAAAGTGTATTCATATTAGATTTTATGAACTTTAATTCAAAGGCTATTCTTTGCTAATTAGATAGTTATTCATGTGAAATTTCAATTGCACGTCATTCAATGAATCTTTCATTTAACATTTTGTCAATACATCCATTTTAATGCCTCCACATTAGCTTTTGAGTTCGATTGCTTTCTTCATTATAAATAAATGCTACATGCTCTTGTTTACCTATAATAATAATAATATCAGTCTCGTAAGTAAGAAAGACTAGGGACATTTTAAGACTAAGTTGTTTATAATTAGTTGTACCTCATGATCACAACGCATTGCGATTAACAAGTTATTGAAATTAATATTCAGACTCCATTAATTTAATCCTTAAACAAGTAACTTAAAATCATAGTTCTGCCATAAACTGTAAATACATTAATCTTAAAGTGTTTACAACCGTTAACGATTGGACTAAGGCATGTCACTAACATAGAATACCTCAGAGCTTAACATAGAAAAGCTTGTCAAATAAACAATTGCATAAGATACAATCTACGAAAAATTATTGCGTTCCCACCATTCTAGCTGGTATTATTACTAGTTCAAATTAATGCAAGTCCGTTACTATCAGATAATTTATTTCCGAATTATATATATTTTTGTAAAAACTTTTGCATAAATTTTATTCACTTCTGACTTCTAAAGGGCACGCTTCCGACTGGTTTCTGGAGGTCCGATGAACAAGTCTGTTTCCACATCTGAAACTTCACTAATATCTGCAGAAGGCACAGTTGCTTTTTCCTTGTTTGATCCTCGTTCTTGTTGGAGCGAAAGCTAACAACATCAAATATATATTGAATATCACGCAAAACTTCTTGCTACAAACTCAGAAAGAAAATCTTCGTACAGTTGAATTAACATAACTTGTTGGTTATAACCATTATGGGCCCACACAAGAGAGAGAAATTCTAATTTGGTAGCTTGATGTGATGGATAACGCTCATATTTTTCATTTTAATGAAGAAAAAATGGAAAACAAACTGGGGCTAAATTCACCTTATTCCTCAACATTGCATTTTCAACTGCTAAAGCTGTTCCCTGGATTGACAAGGCAAAAGGGCATGATATGAGCAATCACAAAAGAGTGCTGCTACATGTCCAGGGCCACATGGGCCCTGGACGAGCAGCGTTATTCATCACAAAATACATTCATAAATTTTTTTACCATGTGCACACAACAATAGACCAGATTTTATCATCTTTACCTTATCAAAAAAACAATTGACTACACCGTACATGCTCATTCATCTTCAGTTAGATAAAATCTAAAAACTGTTTCGAATTTCTTGCTGAGTAAAACAACTCACCTTTTCTTTCAATTGCTCTACATGTTGCCTGAAAACTTGAATCTGAATGAAGAAAGGGTTAGAATAACTTCAGGTTCCATTAGGTTCAGTAATAAAGAAACTTAGATTTCTAATATAACCTTTCTTGTTCGAATGCTGCTGATGCTACGCTCCAGCTGTTGTTCTAGCTCTAGTAGTTCTTCAGTGGTGCACGATCCCAGATCTTCCCCCGAGAGCTTCCTAATATACAAAATCAAGAGTTTTGTATCTCACTAAATCCAAATTAATATTCGTAACAAGAGAACTCAATAAGGGAGTCTTCCCCCTAACCCCTCTTTGTGAACAAGGACTAGGAAACTTAACATTTCAGTACAAAACATTGCTAGTGAATAAAATTTTCAGATGCAAAAGTTTTAGATTCAGGATGTTGAAACCTTTTTGAAGATTCGAGATGCTCTATGTTTTCCATCAGACTTGCCATTTCCTGCTGTAAATGCTGCAATTTTAAGCAAATCCATTTAAATCTCGGAGCAACATAATAATAGTTTGCTAATGAAAATAGGATAGAGAAAGGCAACCTGCTTATTCTGTTCCACTGGAGGGTTCTTAGCCTGAATATCTTTTTTATGCCTTTTATAACGTTCTATTGTCTCCTTGATGCTGCTGAAGTTCCAGAATCAAATGAAATTTGTTAAAGAAATGGAAATGTTTTAGCAGAAATTTATAGGCATTTCTCAAGATTTGTCTTACAATTTACAACAGATATCTAAGGTAATATATACACATTTTGAAAGGGATCCCAGGATCCCTGGCATTATATATATGACAGACAGACATCCAATTATTTTTGCCATGAACAGTTTTTTTTTTTTTTTTTACTTCAACAATGCTCTAACAAAACAAGTAGCCTTAATTTTATAGACTTGAAATTGTTTTGCAATTGTCAAACTCTTTTAATTCACTTCAAACTTCTATAAAAGATGCACATCACATAACTCTACTTCGTCTCAAGAGTCTCATCTTGATAGTCAAAAATTAATATGATCTCATGCTATTAAAATGATTTAAGTGCATTGAATCTTCAAAAAGCTATATCCATTGAGCCAATGAAATGACAAAATATGATTTAGACAGCCAGTTTATATTTATTTAGAGAAAGTTTATATTTATTTAGAGAAAGACTTTGTTATTGTTTCGTTCTATAACCAAGGAAAAGGGGTAACTTGTAAGCTAAAGAGGCATTTCAAAAAAGGTGCAATCCTACTTATAAGATGCTACAAACGTGGCCTTAGCCTGAAATTTTTAGCAATGAAATGAATATGAATTTATCATCAGCAGAATAAACATTTTTTTGTTTATTATTTGATTGGAGCATGCAAGAAAAATTATCTTATACGTATTTTATTTCAAAGTTTAGTCATTGCAATGTTTCTCTTGCCTTGGTGTTATGCTTAACAGAATCATACAAGTTTGAATATGTAAACATAGATAAAACATTTCACAAAATTGATAAGATAAGGAATAAGAATATACAACAAAGAATAAGTAACACTGATTGATGATAAACTAAGGAAATGAAGGCTTAGGGATTTGATCAATATTAGAGAGAGCTAAATAAACTTCAATTCACAAGTGCGATAT